GCACTGCAGCTAAAGCCACATGTCTGGCCATGTTATATTTAAAATTTGAAGATGATAAGTCTAAAACTCTGTATTTAGTTCAATGTTTTTCAAGATCATGTCATATGACTTTATTTTGATTAGACTGGTGTTTATTGTTTTCTTATAAGCATCTATTCAGTCTATTGCCTCTATTGTTTTGTGATGCAAAAACGAGCCCCATTCAGTCTCAGTCTCCCCTGCACATATTCACACCTCTCCAGCCAGTTTATTGCTCTAAATATGCTTTTCTTTTGTCTGCATTATAATCACTAACGACTAGCAATTCACACTGTTTCAATCCCTCATTTATTTTATAAAAGTTCTCACTTCACAGTGAAACTGTATCAAATGCCCTTTTTGAAAAACGAAACATTTCAGTAAGCATTCTTATTTAGAAAAAAATCATAAAAATTACACCGAAGTAAGGTAGCAGGTGCTCCGTACTAGCTAGCATGTTAGCTTAGCACACCATCAATACACGACAATTTATGAGAATAAAACTATGTTTGTTCTCCAAACTTACTTTATAGCGCAAGTCGAGTGTTTTAAATAACTTTCTGTAATCTGATTTGGCTTCAGATAAAAAAATCAGATAGAAAATATATTATTTTATTGTATTCTGCACAATTTGAAAGTCTATCTCGATTAGCATTACATTATACATATAATCAATTATTATGAAAATACCTGACATGACTCGAAGAACACAGGTAAATCAAATATCATTGCAATCATGTTTATTGTCTTCAAAACATCTTTATCTGCACTTTACAGCGATCTCGGATAGCTTTGTTGTGGCAGGACTTCCTGAATGTCACATGATTATGGCTCTTCTTCATGTGATCCATATATTATGGACTTCTGTTCAAACAGCGCCCTCACTTTCAGGATGAATTGATAACACAGTACAGAGTATACAGCGCTCAAAATGATTACATCGACGCATTTGGGTATAAATTCAATAAATATTATTCCTGTCTATAGAAGTCTAATGTAAAGCTATGAGAATCTATCAATATTTCTCCAAATCTGCACATGTTTGAGCTAAAAGCCCTGAGGGACGTTGTTTTGTCAAGCGCTGTCATGACGATCGCACGGGAGTTTTTTTCTGAATGAGACCGGCTGAGGCTCATAATTCATATTAAAGGTAACGACTCATTTTTTAATTTCATAACTCCTGACACAAATTAAGACATAACTGTCACTATAAGTTTCTCAGAATACAATAGTGGTCAAATACTGAATCTTGAGTCTTATATCTTTTTAATGATGTATAGTTTGTCAAGGTATAACATTAAATCTGATAGTATATTTGAACTAAATAAATAAAAAAACGCTTCAGTGCGCCGACGCTCTGGAGACGGTTAAGAGGTTAATAGACGAGCAAAAGTTTATTCTGATCCACATAATAAATTAAGCTCATTCAGAACACGATTTACTTTATTTGCGCTTTATTTGACTGTTTATTTCCATTTTATGTGTGTATTCGAACTACAGCTAAGCTCGTTAGCTTCTTCCTCATCATCCTCATCACATTTCCCACTAGAGTGCTCTAAAGTTTCAGATTTCCGACCAACAGCGATTCAAGTTCGCGATACTTCTTTTTACTTAAGTAAAACTAGTAAAATCTGTATTTAGTATGCATAAAAGTAGATTTTTTTGGAATATTTACCTTATGCAGTCGCCTGCTCGCTGCCATCTTGGATTTGCTTGTACCCACAATGCAAAGCGCGTTGAATTCACTTCAGTCAGTTCAAAATAATTAATAAAATATTTAATTAAATCAAAATATGTTGCAAATGATTTAGAGAGTTTTAAGGATTTTTTTACAGTTGCTTTAAGGATTGAAATGAAACTTGGGGCAGCTTTAAGAAATCTTCATTTAATAATGAATAAACAGACGTTTTCATCAGGCTCGTTACTTCCTCAAGTTGGTTACAATTTAATTCGTTTTATAAGCATGTTAATGTGATCTTATCTGACATACACTCGACAGTACAACTAGCGCAATTGATAAACACAATAAAAAGAAAACTCTTCTTCAACACTATCATCGATGAAACAGCAGCCGTCAGGTGGTACAGCGGTCACGTGGTACAAGTAGGAGTTCTCAGAAAATTCCTAGCTTACAAGTTGTAATTACGAGAATACTTCAACACTTTTTACAAGTTACAGAACGTGCCTTATGTTAATTGGACAAATGAAAAATAAACCGTTTTTCAGATGACAACGATTCTAAATGTTATAAATATTGTACCTCTCTATATATGCTATGATATATAGAGAGAAATAGTGTATATTCTTTACATATCACTACAATTTACTTCAATCCCAAACGAGTCCACTGGGAGGTGTAAGAGCACTTCGCTAATGCTGCACATTCAGACCCAAACACACACAAACTTCCACATGTGTGACAGAACAATAATCACTCGACTCTTTAAATCGCATTAAGGCTGTTATTTTAGGCTGTTTATTGAAGTAGGCCTAGGCTATATGTTGTTGGAAAACTGCAATGTGAAGTACGAAATAGAGAGTAAAGAGGAATTTTTGCCAGATACATTTGTGGTCAGAATTATTGGCAACCCTGGTAAATATGATCAAAGATGGCTGTAAAAATAAATCTGCATTGTTAATCGTTTTGATCTTTCATTAAAACAAATCGCAAAAATCCAACCTTTCATTGAAGTAAAATAATTGAAAGTGGGGGGAAATCAGATTATGAAATAAATGTTTTTCTCCAAAACACGTTGGCCACAATTATTTGCCCCCTTTTATTAAATACTTTTTGCAACCTCCTTTTCCCAAGAGACCATCTCCGAGTCTTCTCCTGTAATGCCGGATGAGTTTGGAGAACACCCGACCTGAGATCAGAGTGCTTTCCTCCATACAGACTCTCTCCAGATCCTGCAGATTCCCAGATCCATGTTGTGCTTCTCCTCTTCAGTTCAGCCCACTCGTCAGGTCAGGGACTGGGACGGTCATGGCAGAAGCTTCATTTTGTGTTCAGTGACACACTTTTGTGTTGATTTTGATGTTTGTTTTGGATCAGAAGCCGTTAGGTTTAGATTTTTTATATGTTGGTATTTGCTAGAATCCATGATGCCGTGTATCTGAACAAGATGTCCAGGACCTCCAGCTAAAAAATAGGCCCTCAACATTAAAGTTCCAGCAGAGTATTTAACCGTGGACATGGGGTACTTTTATACCTGTTTGCACCAAACACATCTGGTGGGTTTGCTGCCAAAAAGCTTTTTTTTTGTTTTGTTTCATTTGACCATTTGAAGTTAGTTTTTGGATGAGCGAGGAGTATTTTTCTTGAAACCCTCCCAAACAACATGTAGGGGTTGTTTGATTTTTTTTAAGGCTTTCTGACCCCCAGGACTGAACTAATCTCTGTAATTCTCCATCTGTGAACCATTGGAGAGTCTTTGGCCACTCAAACTTTCCTCCTCGCTGTGCATTAAGACAATATAGACACATCACGTCCTCTTCCTGGCAGATTCATAACATCTTTAGTTGATTGGAACTTCTTAATTATTGCCCTGACGGTGGAAATGAGAATTTGCAATGCTTAGCTATTTTCTTACAGCCACTTTCTATTTTGTGATGCTCAACAATCTTTTGATGCACATCAGAACTATATTCTTTGGTTTTACTCATTATGATGGATGATTAAGGGAATTTGGCCTTTGTGTTTCCTCATATTTAAACTCCTGTGAGACAAGAAGTCATACAATTTCATGTTCCTAGAAATATTATTGGGAATATATTTTTTACTCATAGAAAATTCTAGGGGTGCCAATAATTGTGGCCAACGTGTTTTGGAAAAAATAATAAAAAAAATTCATATTTCACATTCCTTTTTCTTCAATGAAAGGATAAACAATGTGTAAAACATTTTACAGCCCTCTTTGATCATATTTACATGGGTGCCAATAATTCTGACCACAACTCTACATGCATATTTCCTTTTCTATATACGGTACTTCCCTTTTCTATACTTTCCATAGATTAGCAAATTCTTTTAACATAGTTTCACTTCTACTGTTGTAACAGGGAACATGTTAACATATAGTGAACGTAAGTTTCTTTACAAACTCCTGCTGTTTTGCTGGTCTCTCAAAAGCAGCAGAAACACAAAGTAAGACAAAATTCGGTACGGCCTCAATTAAGGTTATAAAAATATAATAAAGTTTGGAAAATATTTCAAGCATAATCAAATGATTAAAAACATGATGGAAAAAAATGTATTTGAAACAAATTATTCTCTCACTAGAATCTATGTAGGCCTACAAGTATCATTTTTATGATATTTTTAAAGATATTTTAAGGATATTTCTATGTAAGATGCACTTAATATATCACAATCACAATATAACAATGTTAACAATATTGAATAACTTTTTAATTTCGAAATTTGCAATTGTATGTCAATAGTTTATTACTTCCTAAATATAACTTCTTTAATACATGAATTACATATTTTTCCTTGCAATAATTTCTTCCCATATACATATGAAGATTGGTATAGCTGACAAATTTTATGATGTTGTTTTCAGCATTAAGATTTTAGGCTACAATTTATATAAATTAGTGCTCGTCAAATCGCTTAATGACATCTACCATAAAAAGTTTATGTTTACTATGTGTGTGTTTATATATATGCATACTGTACATATATGGGTGTGTGTATACACACATAAATTCTATAAACAAAAACTTTTTATGTTAGATTTGTCAGCAATACCTAAATGTACATGGCTAATGTGTGTTTTAGATGCTGTAGCTGCAAATTCTAAATGCTCTTCAGTTCACTAGTGTAAAAAAAAGCATTTGTCAAAGTACAAATATTCCATCTAGTAAATTGCATGTATAATTATTAGAACTATTATACTCGAAAACAGCAGCCTTACAACATGAAGATGCGCGTGCCAGAGTCACACAGGAGCATTTGGATTGCAAATCTGGCAGCAGCAGTGGCAGGTCATGGCACGTTACACCATTTCAGCAGCAGCCCTGGGCTGTTTAGGCAAATGAGAGTGTGTGGCTGGCAGAGGCAGGGCATTTACCCTCTCTCCCCCTCTCTTTACTGCTTCTTATTCAAATTTGGGTCAGGGGTGAGGATTTCTCACGTCACACAAGCTTGCAGGCAAGATGGCGCTCGGAAAGCTGTGAGATGTGAAAACAGAATGACTGTTTGAAGAGCTTCTGTCGATGCTTTAAGGTACAGATACTTTATTATTACATACGCGTTTGTTTTGTGTTGTGAGGGGGGCATGACTGCGGTTTAACGGGGGTTTGAGAGGGGTTTCTTATTTTTTTAAAGAAACACTGATTCCTCTAACATACTGCTCTTGTCGCGTGCCCACTGGGCTTTTAATGCACACACCGCGCGAGCGCAGCCTGGCAGGGGCAGATATGTGTGTTTTATCCAAAAGCCCTATACCTGTTCCAGCATTGCTCATGCTATTACCAAATGCAATCTTTGAGACATGATTTAGGTGTTTAGTGCATCTTTATACTTTAATACAAATGATCCGTCGGTTACCTTAATGGCAAAACCCGATCAGTGGCCCTTTATGTGGACAGCATTCCTGTTTCACCCCTCCCTCAGTCACTGTTTTACCCTTTAACATGTATAATGCTCATATGGGGTATTTGTGATATATATATATTTTTTGCATTATTAATGCATGCATTAAACTATCGCTTTTTACATTTATAATGCTCTTGTGTAATATGTGTTTGTTGTTAATGCATGCATTTAGATGAAGACTTCGGGTTACTCATGTTTGTTTATTTAAATTCATAATTGCAAATCGTAATTTATGAGTGTAAAAAAGGGAAACCTAATTTATTGTGCTATCTGTCGAGTCTTGGCTGCTGTGTTTGTGTGCTTGTACATTCGTATCATCATGAATGTGTGTAATAATGATAATGAAGCAACGCTGGTGAAGTGATTGAGTTTGTTTCTTGTGCAAAAATGAGACATATAAGCCGTACAGACATTAAGATGGATAACTTTTTACCCAGCATTTTATGTTACAGTTCATATGTAAATTCTAAGTGTTGTGACAGGTCACCATTGCCAGGCACTGTAGTTTTGCTTTATTACTGCATGCAATAAGATATTCCAGTGAAGATTTTAGGTTCTTATTTTTTCTTGTAATGCATGTGTATGTGGATTTATATGGAAATATATGTTAGGTGCTTTGTTGCATTATGAAGTGCATCTGATATTCTAAAGTGCTTGTGTGGTTCTTGGCTCTTATTGTTATTTCAATGATGCATGAATTTTATATTAAATTATTTTACTTCTATATCTTAAGGAGTGCTTGAAGGACCCTTTTAATCTCATCCATTTTAATGGGCTGGGGGAAGGGGCTTGTTTTACAGTGGTTGGTGGATTTAGAGCAGTGCCACAGCACTAAAGTAACTCCCTTTCTGTGTGACAGTTTGCTTGAATGAGACATACAAGAATTTTTAACTGATGATATTGTGATTTTTGTACAAAACGTGCACATGAAACAGCCTGTTATGCCTCCTGTCCATGCTGTTGTGATGGATGTTTTCAAGGTAAGCAAACCTGCAGATGCATGCTTTGCTTTCCTTTGGGAATGAGGCTCTGATGTTTAGGTCCATGGTCCAGTGAGCCTTATCTTCAAATTGTAGAGGTTGCGTCCAGACGCTTCTCTGCGAGCTCAAACTGGCCCTGTCTGTCATAATTGTTTTGTTGTCCTCTACAAAGGTCAGAGAAAACGAGAATAAAAGATGTGTTTAACAGATGTAGTGGCATTCATGTTAACATCTAATCAATACTCTTACGAAAGGCAGCCCTCGGTTTCTGCTTTGAATAATGCAGATGATCAGATCTATTGAGTGGATGGGGCGGGAACGGCACTTGAAGACAGTTTGTTTAGAAGATCGTTAGTAATTGTGGTGTGGGTTTGCATTTTGATTGAATTCTTATTTGTTTGTTTGTGTATTTGTTTGTCTTTCAAAGGAGAACAATCTTTTCCTCCGGTTCTTAATGAAATATACAATGTTTCTGACAGCTTTATCTGTTCATCTAGTCATGCCACCTGTACTAGCCTTGTCTGGTTGGGTAATAATGATGAAGTATGTTTGACTTATTCTTTAAATTCCCCTCATGGTAAATGGGGGGAAATGGCTGTAAACATTGTTTTTTGGTTGATTGAAATGATTCAACTAGAGTCATTTCATCAGAATATAGGTTAGCCTCTACTTAATTGTTTAGTTTGAACCTTTTAGGCCAGTTTAGATGTTCATGCGTACGTATCAATGCATGCATGGTGTGCATGTCGTGTTAAGGCATCACCCCATCTCTGAAATCTCACCTAACATGCTTGGCATGTTTATTGCTTAGATCCTTTTAACCTGGAACCTTTTAACCACTTCTTGAGGATATCAGCAGACATGATTGTGTAGATGTTGACGAATATGAATGTGATTTATCTATTGAGGGTTATTCCAGGGTTGCCCAATCTGGTTGAGTGGTTGGTTTTGCCCCAGATTCCCTAATTCTTGGTTTCCATCACAGATAAATAGCCTCTCTGTTATATTGAACATGTCATGTGTTGTAATCTTCGGTGAGTAAAATTGCAAAATGCACAGAAGTTTTGTGTAGAGTACCTTTGAAACAGGTTTGTGAGAATGTGGTTGTTTGCTGTCCTCTGACAATTTTCGTCGGTTGAGTCCAGTTTCTCAGGTATTCTACAAATTTTAGCCCAGCAGTGTACCCAGATGCATTTTCGCATGCCTAGAAATGCAATTTCGTTCAGCAGTTTCTCAAACATTATTCAAAATGATCAATGATGTAATCACAGTGCAAGTGGTCTTTTTGTAAGAACTGTTTAAATGCACATTCTGGTCTTATCGTGCATGATTCATTGCAGCACGTTATTCCAAATAAAAATCCTAATTGTATGCCCCACTTCTCAAGCAGCTTTCCTTCTCAAGCAATTTTGTTTAATATCCATTATGACATGTCAGTTTACAGACTTAAAAATAGTTGACAGGCAGCAGCTAGTTGTTTTGTCATCATCATTAGGAAGGTTTTATGCATGTTTTTGGTTGGAAATCGTTTTTTTTGTAGCCCAAATAGCGCGTAACATTGAATAAAATGCACACAGACAGTGGATGAAGGCCTTGAATTCTTCAGATAAGTGATATTGTGTTATCTCTTAGTTGAGGTCATTCATCAGATTATTTGGATCAGGTTTGCTTGGCTTCCAGGTTGGCCCGGGTCTCTCGAGGCTGGTGGTTGGTTACAGTAAGCACTTAGATCTTAATGTCTGTAGGCATCTATGAAAGTGTCTCTTATCAAGTTAACCCACCTGATGTTATTAACCAAACTTCATCAATATTCTTGGAGATCCTAATGTTTAGAGATTTTAGTTACCTTGAATCCTCACTGAAGCTTTCTGGCACTTTAAAAATGTATTATGTTTATGGTTGTTTCTTGTTCTTAAAAATTTGCTGTAGGGTAGATATTATATGTGACGGATGCATCTCATGAATAATGTTTTGTATCACCAATGCCCCTTTTCATAAGAGCAAAAGTGCTCTCTGTGTTTTTATGGCATCAAGACAATAAAATCGGCGCCCCAGGGGTCCGTGCCACAGGATAAGCTTGTTTATGAGGTTAAGCGCAGTCCTTGCCAGACTTGTTTACCCGTGTTGTTACTGGCCTCTTTTGCACTTTGACTTTTTTCAGGCAGCAATCTCGCTGATTAGAGTAGTTGTTTCATCTCTGGGACAGGACTGCTGGTCTTTGAGGAGAGGTCGGAATGTCGGCAAAGCAATTGAAAGACCAGCAGCATCTTATCAAGAATTGTGTGCAACTTCTAGATAAATGGGTTTCTCAAAAGTCTTTTGTTTTTTGGGCAGTGGGTTTTGGGTGCTATCTAAGTTTTCCCCTAACTGTTGTGGTTTATTGTTATCTAGGCAGTTCTTTAATTGTACCACTGTACTTGAGGCCTATAAATAACCTGGGAGTATTGATATCAGGCAAATAGGGTTTAGTTTTATGTCTGGGCATACTGGTTTTTATGTGACAAGTAACTGGAGATATGAGAGAAGCCATTTAGGGTTCAGACTTTGTTCAGATTGTAAACATGAAATAGTATTAAAATACTCAGCCTGTTTTCCCTTTATAATGAAGTATGAAATGGAGTTTTTTTTTATTCATAAGCTGTTGCTTTACATTTTTGCCCTTTTAATGTACTACATTGGTGGGAATTAAATATCTAGTGAAGTTCACTTCATATTTATTTTTTTCAAATTCCTGAGTAATCATTAGTTAGCTTTAAACAGTCGTGAACTCTGCTGACTGAAATTCTGCTGACTGGTTTCCTGTCTCCATTATTGGTTTTGACTTGGTTGTACATAATAAATAGTTAATCTATGTAAGACTGACTTCACTGGAGCAACTGATAAATATTCAGCATGGTTTGTAAACACGTTTCTGAAGTAGTTATTTTTAGGCTTTCATTTAAATCTGTATCATTATGGATTTTATTGACTCAAATATGCAAGGGAAACTTTTACAATAATCCAGTAAAAAAAAAAAAAGTTCCTCAGGGGCGGGTAGCCTGGCTAATTTTTGTCGTCAATTGTCCTGAAAGAAGGCATTGAATAATCACAGTGTTGTGAAATGTGAAAATGTGTTTGGGCTTTGTGCAAAGATAATTGACACGCCAGTCTCGGTTGGTCTGAGTGCCAGAAACCTTCTTTGCCGCATTACAAAGATTCTGCTGCAAGCTGAGGCCTGTTCGTCCTGTGGAAAGGGTGCTGGTTTACCTGTTTCCCACCACACCCTTGGTGATATCCCAGCTCAGGTTTCAAGCTGTCTGTCACACAGGCCCGTCGTTGACGTCCACTAGCCTTTTTCACCCAACCCCCATATCACAACAAAGGGAATGACCCTGGAGGCTGGCATTAATGACTGCTGGCAGGGACGTTAAGCCATAGTGGACGCCCTCAGAAGAAAAGAAATTCACTGTTACTGTTCAAGCCTTTTATTCATTCTCTGCTTTTAGCTGAAAGTTGAGAAATTGTCCACACTTGAAGAATAAGATGCCAGCTTATGGATACTATCATACTATATAGACTATGCTTTCTCCACAAGCATGCTCTGACAGCAGATACCATAGTTGCTATGGTCTGGATTTGTGCTTAAAAGTTTGAATTTAGAGCATATCATTTCTAGACTTTATTTAAGACCCTGTTCTGTTTGATTGTATTCTGATGATGTGGATTGGTCATAAGAGTTTTGTGGCTTCACTTAATCTTTATACTAGTGTTCTGAAACATTGACAATTTATTTTTAGCAGCTATACACACTTAATCTATACAATTATCCTTTGTTTGTAAAGTTAACCAAAAATATTTGTCACTAATGTTGCACTGCACAGGATTTTGTCCAATCAGATCCTCCTGCGACTGACCAGAAAGCTGTGATGTAACTATTGACTGTTTAAAAATAAGGGACGGGTGCTTCAGTATACCACACCCAATTGCAAATATGTCAACATGGGTCAGAAACAAGTTTTTGCTACAAGTGTTTGCTGTAAAACATGAATGTTTTCTTCCCCCTTGACAATAACTAACTTTTTTTTTCTGTTTTAGGTTTCATAGGTGAAGAAAAAGTTGGAGGAAATGGAATTGCCAAATCATGCCAAACAATTGCTGCTGCAGCTAAACCAACAAAGAGCCAAAGGTTATCTCTGTGATGTGATTATAGTAGTAGAAAATGCCCTTTTTCGGGCACACAAGAACATTCTGGCAGCCAGCAGTATCTATTTCAAATCCCTTATCCTTCATGACAACTTGATTAACCTCGATACAGACATGGTCAACCCGTCGGTTTTCCGGCAGGTTCTAGACTTCATTTACACTGGCAAGCTTTTGTCATCTGATCAGTTCAGTGACCAAAATTTCAATGCCCTTCTAACGGCAGCAAGCTACCTCCAACTTCATGACTTAGCTGCTCTCTGCAGGAAGAAGCTCAAGCGTAATGGGAGATCCCTTCTTAATAAACCCACCACGCCTACCAATGGAAGAACTTCTAGGAACCAAAGGCTATCCTCTACACCTGTAATTCCAAACCAAATGTCAGGGTTAAAAGACAGTGAGAAGACAAAGAGGCATGAGGAGCTACTCAAAGATGACTTGTCTGAGGACGAGATGTTTGCAAGAAATGCCCACGGTGCCACCTCTGTGAATTCGCTCAGTCCCTCAACGAGTAAGAACGGAAGCAACGGCAGTTGTGGCATGCAGGAACTTGGCCTAGACCTTTCCAAGAAAAGCCCCTCAGGGAGCACAGCCACTGAAGAAGTCAGTCCCAGCAGCATCCCACAAGAATCACCTCAGTCTGCCTCAGAATCCACAGCCAACAGTGCCTCATTTGATGAGAACACCAACACGCCAAACCTCACCGCTGGAGAGCCCATGGAGCTGGGTGGAGGAGAATGTGAAGAAAGCCAACCACCTCCAGAAGTTGACCTGCATAAAAGCTCCCGGCAGGTTACCCGGCAGAGGCGGCAACCCAAAAGTGAAGGCAAAAAGGTTGAAGATACAAAACTTAAAACTTTACCCAACGGAGTCACCAAAAGATTGAAAGTGTCTGGGGAGAGGCTCCCTGGTGGAGGTAATGGCAACTCCAAAGCATCCTACCAGTGTAAAGAGGAAGATTTAGAGAATGGACAGGAGCAAAGTGAAGAGAGCGGACAGAGCGAGAGCGAAGGTGGCCGGAATAGCGCCAATTACGTCTACCGCCAGGAAGGCTTTGAGCCTGCACTCGGTGACAACCTTTACGTTTGCATTCCCTGTGGTAAAGGCTTCCCGAGCTCTGAGGAGCTGAACGCCCATGTGGAGACCCACACAGAGGAAGAGTTGTACATTAAAGAGGAGGATGATGATTCCTATCCAAAGGAAGATGAAGTAGAAGCAGAAGACTTGTCTTCGCAAATAACCCATATCCACGGCACAGAGTCACGTCGCTTTAGCTGCTCGGTCTGCAACAAGAGCTACAAAGATCCAGCCACTCTTCGTCAACATGAAAAGACCCACTGGCTCACCCGTCCCTTCCCCTGCAACATCTGCGGCAAGATGTTCACCCAACGTGGCACCATGACGCGCCACATGCGTAGCCACCTGGGGCTGAAGCCCTTTGCCTGTGAGGAGTGCGGCATGCGCTTTACCCGCCAGTACCGGCTCACGGAGCACATGCGGGTTCACTCAGGTGAGAAGCCGTACGAATGTCAGCTATGTGGGGGGAAATTTACTCAGCAGCGTAACCTCATTAGCCACCTACGAATGCATACCTCTCCGTCATAAGCCAAAGACACCTTGAACAGAAGACCCTCAGCAAAAAGAGTCAATGCACACCTCTTCCTTTTGAAGTACACTGCAAGGAGCCGAAAACCCAAAGCAGGATTCTCTTCTGCTGTAAATTACAGGAGGAGCCTTTCAAACAATGAGCCCCAACAATGGAAAGAATAAACCAACCGGTATGAGTTTATGGGCTTATGATTTTTTTTTTCTTTTTGAATATTGCTGTGAATGTAAAAATTGGGTACTAATGTTGCTGTATGATTTCTTGGGATATTGTGACCACTCTCAACCACTGCTTTTGCTTTTACGATATATCTGGAGTCCATGTTGGCTGCCTGATTGTTTTTCTTGGTATCCCAGAAATATTCCTTCTTTCCAGTCTTGGTCCTTGTTAAAGTATCACTCTCGAGAGTTCTGGTGGTATAGTCCATGTAAAACTCTCAGCAAGGTTTGGGCTTGTAATGACCAGGTTATTCTATATAGAAAGGTTAAATTCTTTGAAGTGTCTCCTAAGGGTCTCAAAGATAGTGTTGTCAGACATGCAAGATGGCTTGTCTGTCATCATTTATGTGGTGTTTCATAAAAGCTTTGTGCATCGAACCAAACATATCCCAGTATACCTACTCTGCACATCACATCCATTGGCTTTATTCTAGGTGTAGCTGGAATACAGGGTCGTTGATAAGTTTTGTACTGTGGTTGATTCAGTTATCAGATTTAGCATGGAAATACCATAATGTACCCTGCTCATACATCTGGATGCAAGCCAATGGCAAAGTGGTGACGAGAGGCCATGGGTGTCCTTTGTTGTTTACTCGTATTAGCATATAGGGGTTTACTCTCAAAGAAAAGCCAAACTTAAAGGTACTTGTTTTTAGTTTTCTTTAGATAACTTATTGATATGCCTCTGTGATTGTTTTAACTGGAAATTCTTTCCTTTATTTCTTTTGGGATCAGAGAGGGTTGGGTTGGTTTGGGTGATGGGTTGGGCAGGGTTCATTTTAGTGATGTTGAACTTCATAAATTCTGTCGGTACTGTTGTTTTTCACTTCTTTTTTTTAAATTACATTTTTTCCCTTCACTGAACAAGGCGAGTCCGTATGGACTTGTCTCATTGCTACCTCTTAATTAAGAACAATACATTCATTGGAACTATGGAGGTCTCTGAATATAGATGTATAAAGTTCACTGAGGCTTTCAAAGTAGTTGTCACCTGCCCATCAACAAAGGTTTTTCTTTTTTTAAAGCATTAATGTAGAGAATAGCTTCTTTGGGCGCATGTATTTAAGGTATTGAGAGTTTTATGTCAGAGAAATCCAAAGATAAATTTAATATTGGGGAGAATGGCTTACCAACAAATGTTTCCTGTAGAATATCCCTACCAAAGGTTTTAGATTGCATTGCAGGAGGTAAGGATGTACTTTTGTCTTTTAGTTCTTCATGAAGAGCAATGTAGTGGGATGTTAGTTTGTACTTGACATTTTACTAAAAACCAATGAACTTCTGTCTTCTGGTGGATGGTGGGCCGCTGGCTTTCCGTTTTTTTAAGTTTACAGTTAGTTTCTCAAGAGTGTCTTTTGGTTTCTTACTTTGTCTGCAGAGAGACTTTGAAGAACTTCAAAAGGACTAATTTGTTTTAGTTCAGAGCAAGAAAAAAAAAACGTGCGAGAGCATTACGAGTGTTGTAGGTTTTTGTTACATGTCGACCATACTTGGAAAGCTTACTGAGTGAGGAGGAATTGATGCACTGGATTGCTTATTAGTCATCAGCCCCAAATAAAACCTTGTTCTAAAACGATGCTAAGTTATGTGGCGTCGCGTAAAAACCATTATCATTTATTCATTCGAGGTATAGGTATTATGTAAAGTGTGCATGTTAAAAATAATTTATGGTTATTCAAAATGCTGGTAACTGTCGAGTGAATGTTACATGGTCAGTGTTGGGTAAACGCTGATGGATGTATAGTCCAGTGCTGAATTCTTCGCTGCCATCTTCATTTCTTAACTCTGTTACAGATAAAAAAATTTGCCAATCCCAGTGTATCACATTCCATGAATAATTCTTAGCCATCTTAATGTAAAAGTCTTAATGGCATTCCTTTTTTTTTGGTTCTTTCTCCAAAAGCTTGTTTGTGCTTGCTAACGATGAACTGTGGGGTGCCGCTATAGTCGTGTTAACGGAGCAATGTTTACAGCCATCTTTTTCCTGGAATCCTTTTGGTCTTTAATTGAGCTTATTCAAGTTTAATTTTCAAGTGTCTCCATTAGTTATTCAAATTCAATACATTGGAGACATTTATAATTTCTCTAAACACTCAATATTCATGTCTTTGCAGCATTAACACCAAAGCTAACCCCAATAGCCTGTTATAACTTTTAACTGAATGCAAGACCTTCAACAAAAAGTCTCATTTTCAAGGTTGTGCATATCTTGGATGTTGAAATTTGTTTTGTTACAGTATAAGTGCGCTCTGGTGTTGATACACATCTCAACTCAGGGAGACTTTTTAAATATTTTTGATGTTTCTGATGTCAGTTGTACTGATCAGGATTCCAGGAAAAAGTTCCCACTGATATCTTACTAATTTACAAGCTCTTCATTTGATTACCATCAAAGAACCGATGTCTTGGGTGATGCTGGGCTCTGTTGTCGATCCCAGCGTTTGAGACTATAGCTGAGAGAACTGGGAGAGCAGAAAAAGGATGACAAAAAGTTTCAAACTGTGACAATAATATTTCTACTTCAAATCTTCAGGGATAGTTCTGCATATTTTGAAATGCAGAGCTTTCGACTACATTTGTAAGACTGTGTCAATACTGTGTCAATTTCTGTATTTTATTGATGAAAAACAAAACGCTAGTTTCCTACGAAATAGATTTTACGAGTGTGTTCCCATTTCAAAACGCCTTCAATTAAACAAAACAAAAACAAAGCCAGAGATGTTTTACTTTTAAGTTCCAGAGTGTTTTTGAACAAAACAAAAAAAAGAAAAAAGAAAAAAAACATTCTAGTAAGCGCAAAATGAATAAACTAATAAGATAAAAGCTCATACCCAAATTTTCAGACTATTTTCTAAACCAAAGCACATTTTGAATGATTGATTGACATTTAAAGATACTTGTGTATAATATCTCATTGTTTACATAAACTCTTTACAGTCATAGACCTCAGGTGAGGGGAGGCCAGTTTGATCCTGCTTCTGTGTAGGTCACCACTTTAAACGAAAGCAAACCGAATCGTAACCGCGTGTCTTACCCTGTGAACGTAGCCGCGTGCTTTTGACTTCGGTGGGCTTCTACATTTATTGATTTGCGATTTGGCCCTTTAAGACGTGCCGAGACATCCCTTATGAAAATCATATTATCGTTGACATGATTATTTTTATAAATCGCTGCTTTTTTTTTTTTTTTTTATATGTAAATACGCATGAAATAAAACTACATACACATTTACCTCAAAGTAACTTTTTAGGACTTGCTGCATATCTATCTATCTATATATATAAATATAAATATAAATGAATATATTTTATTTTTTAAGGTTTTTTTGAATCATCTCTCTTTTTGTTTATTTTAGTCTATTGTTTTAAACGTGTTGTTTGTATTCTGAGCTGCCAGTTTTTTTTTTTTTTCATTTGTCCACAAAAGAAGCAACTTAAAAACCGACTGGCCTCTCCTCCGTCTGCATTGGTGCAAACACTTACTGACAGTGTTCACTTTTTTTATCAAATGTCTATTGTCAGTGATGAATGTATTTATTTGTTTGATCCTGTTTTCACTTTTTAAGAGGTCACTTTGGGTGAGACGACGTGTCTTCAGGGTCTTGAGTTTATTCTGTTGTAGTAAGCTGAGAGGTAAATTTAAAATAAAAAAAATAAAAGGAAAAAAAGACACGACAGATCATTTTCAAACCTGTGAAGACGTAGACATGAGGAATGTATTTCTCCATGAAGTGTCCATCATAAAGGATGTATCCCACATCATTTTTGTAATTCTTATCTCACTCAAAGCATGCACGTGCTCTGGATCATGTGTTTTCTGTCACGGACACTTGAAGGCTGTTTGTCGATTTTGAATGTTCTCTGTCTGTACGCCTCTGCCCACTGATACAGGAAGGGACCCTTTAGAGTTGTGTCAAAGGCATTCAAGGTTGTGTTTTGTGTACTGAAACCTGCCATGTTGTCGCACGCTGTGATTCAAGGCTACCGGCCGATTCCGTTTTTTTTTTTTTTTTTTTTTTTGCAAGTGCCCAACAGAGCCAAAGGTTTTGCCTAAGAAATCTCTTCACTTTCTCATTAGCGAACAGAATGCATCACGGTAAGATCTCATATCTTTAAGCTTTATAAAATGCACTTTCTAAGTTCTCACTGAGGTCCTTTACTCAAGATCTAGGCGATTACATCTTATCAGTTATATACAAATAGCAAACTTTTAGACAATTTTATCTCACACTATTTTGCTGCTAATGTGTAGTTTTGTCCAATTCTACATATCCCAAATAGTATTTTTTTTTCTTTCTGTCAACATAACTGGTAAGTGTTAGGCTATCGTAGGGACCTCAAGTTATCAAACCAAACTAAACCAAAGCCAGATTTACAAGCATGTGCATAGCAGGTGGGCATGTTTCCCATATGTTTTCGCTTAAACGCCATATCACGTTGAAATGCTAGAGCGTTAGTCATCCTAGCCTGTCCACTCCACCTTCATAAGCATTCCAATAACTTTATATGTTGATTAATATTTATTTTCAGTTTGAATGGAAGCAGGATGTCAGATTAGAGAGGAATTTGGGGAGAAAAAAAGAGTTTGGCACACTTGTGAAGAAAGACAAGTTGACGATTATTAGTCGGAATTACCGTTGCGTGTGTGTTTTCGGTCAGCCTTGAACACGGCCCGCGAACAACACGGCGGTTTCGCCTTCCTCAGAGAGCTTGTATTCAGGTCAGAGCTACATGCAGCTCGAATTCTGTCTCATGTGAATGAAACACGGTGTACAGAGCTCATCTCACGTTCACAGTCTTAATGTACAGCTACCAGAAGTCATTTTAGAATCTTTTCATTAAAATCTTGATCAAACAATTCTGGTGTGTTTGAATTCCTTCCTGTTTGTTTGCTTTTGTCACTTGCAATGGAAGTAAATGCTGTAAACATAACTTTTTGACCATGTCTGTGAAAAGATATAAACTGATATTTCAACTATCTTGACTATCTATGAAGGCCAGAAAACTCTGTAGCTTTAGCATGGACCATGCAATGATGCAGGAAAATAACTTTTTACATAAATCCAAACATTGGAAGTAAACGAATAACTAGAAGTTCATCCGCCTAGAAAAGTAGTCATTTAAAGGGTTAGTTCACCCAAAATTTCAAATGATCCCATAATTTACGACACATGACATAGGATGTAGGAGTAGTGTAAGCTTAGGTGAGAGTAGACTTTATCTACTTTATTTTAGTAGATCAAATTTGTTTATTTTATAAACAAAATATCCTCTGCGCTTCCACGTTCATCAATACGTCATTTGTGGGGTCAGAGGTCACTCTTCTGCCGGATCTAGACTCGCGTACGGCCGTTACCGGAAGCCAGTGATTATAGTTTATAAAGTTATAAATATGGATATTTTTCTAACAAGATGCATGGCTTCGCTTCAGAAGGCCTTTCTTAACCAATTGGAGCTATATATTGATTACTTGATGGGATGGATGTGCTTTTTTGGCCTTCCAAAACTCTATTATTTAATATAACTCTGATTGTGTTCGTCTGAAAGAAGAAAGTCATATACACCTAGGATGGCCTTTAGGGTGAGTTAAGTATGGGATAATATTATTTTTGTGAGAACTAACCCTTTAAATGATGATGTGGACAATTTTATAGCTCTAATTTTAAAGAACTAATGTCAGTGCTGTAACAAAAATGTCATACCTCGACATTTTGTGCCCTCAAAGCGTTTTATTTAGAATAGCTTTAAAGGAAGAATCCACGCAAGTGCTTCTGCAATAATATATGGTACCAGGTGTTTTGTGGCCTTAAAATGCCTAATTTACATCCGTTGTAACTTTAATGCATTGCTTTATATTTATTATTGATTGAACTTGATTTTCTGCTGATTTCGAAACATTCCAAGTTCATAGACATTTAAGTCAACGCTACTTTCCAGTCCTAATCACATTCAAACTGCACTTGAGTTTCTACACCATCCACAGCCGAATGTTGCGTCAGTGAGCCCGGGGGTCAGCGATGATTAATGACGAGAGCGAGAGGATCTGGGCCCCTCCCCCAGACGGGCTCTTAACCGGCCGTGGCACAAGGGGTCCATCTGCCATCTGGGAGTCCCTCTCAGAGCTTCACCAATCAGAGTTGGCGGCTCGCTCCTTCACCAGTGCTTTTCTTTCTATTTTGCTCTGCGTTTTCGTGGCCGTTTAGACCGGCCCTCCTTTTGTCCCTCCACCCCCTCCACCCTTCCAGGCTTGCCAGTGTATGTCAAGAGGCCAGCGTGCACCTCCCTACCCCAAGGGAAAAGAGGGTTGGCATTTTTATGGTCCTTGTGTGGCTGATTCTACAGGGCCATTAAGCCCCGCCTCAAGTGGTGTCACATGCCAAATGACCCTGAATGGGGTCAGTTTCAGGCACAATGAGTTGTATGTTGATGCCGCCTCCCCCCGCTCGACCCGTCTGCTAAGTATAGATTAACTATAGACACATCTGCGAGGAGGCAAAATCACATGCAGATCTTGCAGGAAGCCCTTAAATGCATGAAAGGCCTTTCAGCGTCCAATGCCCGTGATCGTGGCATCTGCTGCGTGATGCACATTTGCATCCGAAAATGTTGATGTTGGTTAAGGCAAAGCTATTGCTGGTGGTTTGAACAAACTCCTGCACTTAATGAGCCATATCTAGACTTGTGCCTGTAAGAACAACTATAAGAAAAATGTGCATCGCAACAGGCATTCCTAACACCACATAGCAGCATTAGGCAAGTGCCAAAAGCAATTGAAAAGAGTTTTTTTTGGTGCCTCTTTTATTCTGTGATATTCTCAAAGACATTGCATGTCATTTATTTGGATGGAAAGTCCTAAAGTGTTTGCCAGACACCTTCGGTTGGGCCTTTTCTCTCTGCGGTTTGCATAAGAAGTGTTGCACCAGGTGTCGGCCTCACCAGTACAGCAGCTGCCCCTCGAACCCTGGATTAATGCAGGAGAGGAGAGGGGAGGGGGGATACATGCGAGCCCGTCCGGCAGAATCGAGTCTATTCTTCTCTTTATTTCTTTCACTCTTTCTTTCACTGGGCTGAATGTAATGGCACAGA